GGGGGGGGGGGGTGTCACTGTCACCATGGCAATGTGGCAGATCACACGTGCACATAAACACACGCGTGTTTGCCCTTGACAGACAACCACCCAAACGACAACTCAAGAAACCGTATGACGTCATTATGATCTGTGAGACCTTTTAATTAGAAACGCTGTGATTGGTTCTTGGTTTATCTGACTGAGGAGTGCATTGATATGATCATAACTGCCCCGTCAGGGGTATTTGGATTGTAATGGGCAGATTTCTCAGGCGTCATCAGCAGTGTCGGGGGTAAAGTAACGCGAGTTACGTAATCAGATTACTTTTTTTAAGTAACTAGTAAAGTAACGCATTACTTTTTAATTTAGAAGGAAATATCGGAGTTACTTTTTCCAAAAAGTACCAGCAGTTACTTTGTTTCCATGTGTTGAGTGACAGCTCTGGTGTTGCCGTGGTGACAGAAATCAGGAGTGAGTGCAGAGCGTTGTGTGTGAACATGATCTTACTGTAGCTCTAGACTCAATATCAACATGTGTTTACTCAAAAACACATTCAGTGTTCCTCAAAATCAATAAAAACAGTGAAATGCAAACTCAGGATATTATACAAACCTGCAATAATTGTGTTAAATAAGTCAATCATTTATGTATTTAATACTAACTTTCTTCTCCTGCGTCAGATTCTTCATGCTGCGCCCTCTACTGTACAGACGTGAATTTACATTCCTTCAGCCTGAGCCGTATTCATTTCACTTTTGTTGTGAAAGTACTTTTACGTTTGTAAAGGAAGCACTTTATATATTCAAAACAAACACGCAAGCCCCGCCCAGATTTACAAAGTAACGTAACGCATTACTTTCCATAACAAGTAACTAAGTAACGTAATTAGTTACTTTTTTAGGGAGTAACGCAACATTGTAATGGATTACTTTTAAAAGTAACTTTCCCCAACACTGGTCATCAGAACTGCAGGTTGCGTTGGAGATCTCAACAAGACACATTGTCTGCTGAATAATTAGCTTTATAACAAAAACAAAAGTCATGGATACAGCCGAGTTAAGGCTGCTCTCTGCCTGCTCAAAATTCAGTGTAAACACGCAATGCTGCATAAAAGCCAGACTTAGTTATGTCTGTTCTGTCCTCACGTATCACAGTATACAGTCGTGACTGCGGTGTAAATGCATTTATGATCATCATCTGAGCAGCTTTGAGAAAGACACCTAAATGCTGCTTCAGGATTGAATCAGTAACTCTGTATTGTTTTCAAGTGAATTATCAAGTCACATTTACATGAGAAGAAACGTAGCATAATAATATAAAGACTTGAGACTTAAGGGCAAGCATTTTGTCTTGTTCCAATAACAGATTTGTTTTCACTTGCTTTTAGCCTAAATATCTCTAAATGTGTCATTTCTTATTTTGATCATTTTTATTTATTTATTATTTTATAATATCTTTCATTTTTTTATTTCTTAATTTTTATTTATTTATTAGATATTTTATCCGATCTATTTATACGTTTAGATTACCTGCGCCGTCATTAAGCTTTAAAAACTCTAATAATTAAATAAATGTAATCCATTTTTTCGTGATGCCTAAATTTAGTTGTGGCATTTAAAATGATGTGTTTTTATTTATTTATTATTTTATTTTATTTTATTTTACAAAATAGTATGGTTATGAAAAATAAAAATAATAAAAAAAAATTTTTAATAATTACCATCTTATTTGTATTAATCAGAATTTGAATATTGGTGCAGCTCATGATTTTGTCCACACATATAATGCAGTGATTGAGTGTGTGTGTGTGTGTGTGTGTGTGCGTGCGGTCCTGTACCTCTGTACAGCTGTGATCTTTGTCAAAGCCGGTTGTTTCTCCCGTGTCGTTCTGTCATGTTTCAGCTCTCAGTTTCTCCGTTTTTCTGCACACACGTTCAGGTTCTCCTCTTCTGAGAGACGAACAGTGAGTACAAAGACAGAAAAAGACGCTTCATCACCTGTTTCCTTTTACATTTGTGTTCTCAGCTCTCTCTGGGATCAGATGTTTGCACCACCACACATGACAGAGCAGCTTTTAGCGCTGTAGTAATAGGTTGGCGTCTTGCTGCCAATGGCTGATGAGGTGTCAGGTTAAAGGTCAGGGGTTCTCTATGCTGATTGATGTTCTCTGCAGACCAAAACACACACACACACACACACCACACACACACATACTCACACACCACACACACACATACTCACACACACCCACCCACCCACACCCACACACACACACACACACACACACACACAGACACACACACTGAAATGATGAATAGCCCTTTTCAATTTAAAGGGCTAATTGACTTCTGTAGTATGGGAAAAAAATACTGGAAGTCAGTGGGGACCAGAAACTGTTTGGTTGCCAACATTCTTCAAAACATCTTCTTTGTGTTCAACATAAGAAAGAAACTCATACAGGTTCGGAACTTGAGGATGAGTAAACCATGACAGAATTTTCCTTTTTCAATGAACAGTCACTTTAAATCATAGTTTATGAACTTAATTTCTACCCACTAACAAAAGGAATAAATGTTAAAGAATACACTAGCTTGAGGGAAATGAAAAGTGTGTGTTTGTGTTTGTGTGTGCATGCTTTCTCTCTTCTACATTTCATTTGAGAGGCTTTCTGGGTTTCCTGCCAAAGAGGCCACCGATACTGCAAACAAGGGAAGAGGAGGGTGAAGCGAGAGCGAGAAACCATCTGCTGGAGGTGAGCGGCTCTACCTGTGTGTGTGCAGACCTCTCAGGAGAAACGGCGGCAGCAGGGTCCGGATGGATCCGGAAGGTGACCCACTTTCACAGAGCTCCCTTCTGCTGCACAAGACACGCTGGCCCCGTTTCTCAGAGAGAGAGAAAGAGAGGAAGAATTAACATCGGAACATCTGAGAATAATGCTCTGCTGACTTTGGAAAACAGGACTGTCCTTGTTCTTTGAGTAAAATAATGTAATATAATGCTCTTTACTGAAATTATGTCACAGGCGAAAACATTGTTATCATGTTCTGGTCAATTTTGAGATTTTGGTCTATTTTGATTTCATAAATGTGTCTCTGCAGCACAAAAGCAGTGTTGAGTCGCTGGGGGATATTTGTAGCAATAGCCAACAATACATTGTATGGGTCACAATTATACATTTCTCTTTTATGCCAAAAATCATTAGGATATTAAGTAAAGATCATGTTCCATGAAGATATTTAGTAAATGTCCTACTGTAAATATATCAAAACTTAATGTTTGATTAGTAATATGCATTGCTAAGAACTTCATTTGGACAACTTTAAAGATGATTTTCTCAATATTTAGATTGTTTTGCACCCTCAGATTCCAGATTTTCTAATATTGTCCGATCCTAACAAACCATACATCAATGGAAAGCTTATTTATTCAGCTTTCAGATGATGCATACATCTCAATTTCGAAAAATTGACCCTTATTCAATTTCTGAATTTTATCAAAAGTTTATTTTATTGCACTTTATCTGTAGATCTCTATTTCAATATATATCTTTAAAGAGTTTTTTCTCCACTTCTGCAGCACTTACAAACACCAAAACTTAAGAGTTTTATTCTTCTCTATATTCTGAAGGTTTTTACTGAGGGGATTGTTGATATATCATTCACACTGATTTATACATTTATACTTATTCCTAAAAATATGGTGAATTTTACTATGGTGAATATTGTTGACAGTATTTTCTGAATTATGGAGTGATATTTTGCCTCCATAGACATAATTTCCCTAGTTGATTGATTGCATTAAGAATTGCAGACGTTTTTGTATTACAAGTTTTCTTAAATGTTACGTTTAATTGCACAAACGATGCATTATCTCATTAATTATGATCTAATTCGCATACATTTCCAGAACATAAATCTGAACATTGGATAAAGCCAGGTCCAAAATTCTTGCTTGATTTAGTTGACATATTAGAGTTGAAGATTTTTATAGAAGGGATTTTAGATATATATTTTTATCACTCCATAAATCAGAAAATACTGTGAAACATACAGGAAAAATACGTTTTCACCATGTTTTTAGGAATAAAAACTCAAGTGAATGATATATGAACAATCCCCTCAGTAAAATTCTTCAGAATATAGACAGGAATAAAACTGCTAAGTTTGGTGATTGTAAGTGCTGCTGAAGTGAAAATAAAACTCATTTTGAGAAAACAACTTTTAACGACTTAGATATACACTGTAATTGAAATCTACAGACGCAAATAGATAGTGTAATAAAATAAATACTTAAAATCATTTTTCATTCAACTAGTCTTAAAGAAGATATTAGTTCAGTTCTGTTCACCTGTGGTGACTTAAATATGAAGAAATCTTCATCTTCAAATCACAATCATGAGCTCATTAACTAGGGATGAACCGATATTCAAATTAGCAAGTACAGAGATGTTGATGATTATTTTGTGTTATGTTATATGTTATGTTATATGTTATGTTATGTTATATGTCATGGTATATGTTATGTTATGTTATATGTTATGTTATATGTTATGTTATGTGTTATGTTATATGTTATGTTATATGTTATGTTATATGTTATGTTATGTTATATGTCATGGTATATGTTATGTTATGTTATATGTTATGTTATATGTTATGTTATATGTTGTTATATGTTATGTTATATGTTGTGTTATGTGTTATGTTATATGTTATGTTATATGTTATGTTATATGTTATGTTATGTTATATGTCATGGTATATGTTATGTTATGTTATATGTTATGTTATATGTTATGTTATATGTTGTTATATGTTATGTTATATGTTGTGTTATGTGTTATGTTATATGTTATGTTATATGTTATGTTATGTTATATGTCATGGTATATGTTATGTTATGTTATATGTTATGTTATATGTTATGTTATATGTTGTTATATGTTATGTTATATGTTATGTTATATGTTATATGTTATGTTATGTGTTGTGTTATGTTATATGTTATGTTATATGTTATGTTATGATATATGTTGTTATGTTATGTTATATGTTATGTTATGTTGTATGTTATGTTATATGTTATGTTATGTTATATGTCATGGTATATGTTATGTTATGTTATATTATGTTATATGTTATATGTTATATGTTATGTTATATGTTATGTTATATGTTATGTTATGTTATATGTCATGGTATATGTTATGTTATGTTATATGTTATGTTATATGTTATATGTTATGTTATATGTTATATGTTATGTTATATTATATGTTATGTTATGTTATGTTATGTTATGTTATATGTCATGGTATATGTTATGTTATGTTATATGTTATGTTATATGTTATATGTTATATGTTATGTTATATGTTATATGTTATATGTTATGTTATATGTTATATGTTATATGTTATGTTATATGTTATATGTTATATGTTATGTTATATGTTATATGTTATATGTTATGTTATATGTTATATGTTATATGTTATGTTATATGTTATATGTTATATGTTATGTTATATGTTATATGTTATATGTTATGTTATATGTTATATGTTATATGTTATGTTATATGTTATATGTTATATGTTATGTTATATGTTATATGTTATATGTTATGTTATATGTTATATGTTATATGTTATGTTATATGTTATATGTTATATGTTATGTTATATGTTATATGTTATATGTTATGTTATATGTTATGTTATATGTTATGTTATGTTGTATGTTATATGTTATGTGTTGTGTTATGTTATATGTTATGTTATATGTTGTTATGTTATGTTATATGTTATGTTGTATGTTATGTTATATGTTATGTTATATGTTGTTATATGTTATGTTATATGTTATGTGTTGTGTTATGTTATATGTTATGTTATATGTTGTTATGTTATATGTTATGTTATATGTTATGTTATGTTGTATGTTATGTTATATGTTATATGTTGTTATATGTTATGTTATGTGTTGTGTTATGTTATATGTTGTTATATGTTATGTTATATGTTATGTGTTGTGTTATGTTATATGTTATGTTATATGTTATGTTATATGTTGTTATATGTTATGTTATATGTTATGTTATATGTTGTTATGTTATGTTTTATGTTATGTTGTATGTTATGTTATATGTTATGTTATATATGTTATGGCCAATAACCATTCAATTGTGTCTAAATAAATGAAAAACACTAAAAACCAAAATCAATCGTTTTAAATGCTGCATATTAATGCAGGCATTATAATAATGTACATTACATTGAACAGTGTTGTTAAATTATTATTATTATAGCTTTTCATTTAAAATCAGTTACCAATACCAATAAATTAATTTTTAAAAAAACTAAATTTAGAGATGTTTATGGCTAAAATCAGTGTTATTTACAGATATACTGTTATATTTTTTTACTTGATTTTATTATTATATTTTAAATTTTAGTTTAATTTGTGTTTTTGTCATTTTTATTAGTTTTTTTTTTTAATATGTCAATATAGTTTCCACTAAGTTTTAGTTATTTTAGTACTTCAGCTTAAAATGAACAAAAATTAGAAATGCTGTCTGGGCAACTAGCTGACATAACATATGTTTAAGTTAAATTCATCTTATTTCAGTCAATGTTTATTTCAAGCAATTGAAATGTGTTTATGTTTTATTTAATGGTAATTAACAGTGCTTAAAACAATCTGCTCATGGAAAGAAATAGTCTCAAAAGTTTATTATCTTATGGTAACCTTAAATTTCTTCTCAAAATTGATCAAGATATATTTATATTTACTAGAAAACAATACAGAAATGCTGTTAATGAAATGCGTTAAATTGATATTTAACTTTAAATAAACAATGCATTATTTGGCCCCTAATTAATTAAATAAAAGCAATGTGAATCGACAGAAAATTAATAATAAATCGTTATAGATTAAAGCCTAATAGCCGATCTGCCCTACCTGACTAAATGGACCACTAGATGCCACAAATAAAATAAAATATGTAAAATAATAGTAATTTCAAAGCCTTAAAGTGACTTTGCTAATTTACAGTAAAACGAATCTGAGGTAAAATGATTAGACCGTTGGAAGTTGTTGCCTAGCAACTGCAACGACTTTTTTTTTTTTTTTTTAAACGTATTCAAGGCGAGCTGTCATTTTCCCGGGAACCTCCGCATCACGTGACTCACCCGGCGGCGCCTCGTGTGCAGCGCTTCTCTCCGAATCAAAATGGCGGCGCCGCATGGCGTAAAACCGAAGGATTTAAAGTGTGATATTACGGACCGTACAGCAGCACAGGCGCACCGCGACTCTCAGGTCTCATATATGTTTCTGTTGTATGCCTGCAGATGCTTATATAACGACGCTGTGGTGTAGAAATGACGCTCGGCGTGTGAACACGTGGACGCAGCGCGTGTTCGAGGCGGATGTGAAGTTATGCACGCGATATAAACCCAGAGAAATGCGCTATTAACATCTTCTTAACGACTCAAAGGTGGTTTAGTTTGTCGAGGGATGTCGTTTAAGGTTCTTGAACGCCAGTTTCAGCATATAAACGGTTTAAATGAATGTGGCGTGCGAATATATAACCGTGTCAAAAATAAAATATCCTTTAAGTTCATAATAATGAGTAATATCATTGCGTAAACTACAGATTAAACATGGTATTTTCTAGTAACTATTACCGACTTTAGGTTCCAACAGTTAATAAAATATATGTTAAAGTCCCCATGAAATCAGAATTAGTTTTGTGGGTGTTAGTCTTAAGGTTATCTATAAGGCAGTGTGCTCCAAAACAGTGACAAACTTCGCATTTAGAAGATATAAGCGTTCAAAGCTTGCAGTTCGTCACTTCCGCCAAAACGGCTCAACGACTTTTTTGACGTCACATCGTACTTCAGCTTCTCATTAAACTTTCTGTCCAATCAGATGCTCTCTAGAATCCGAAGCCCCGCCCCCGGCTGAAATCGGTCACTTGGTCCGATGAAAAAGTAAAATATATAAAGTAAAATACATTTTTATTAAATTAAGTCACTTTTTTCACTATATAGTAAAGAATAGTAATAAGTATTTACAGATGTAGTAATTTTGGTATTTTGATTATAGCTACCATGGTAAAGTTTTAATATGGTTCACGATATGAAGGCTTTTTATTATTGGGCAAAGATTATTTAAATTATTTACAGAATAAACTATTATTTTAGTTTGTTCTTTAAACTTCGAGCTAGTGTACTATTGAGCGTTTCCATTATTTTGATGTACAGATTTAAGATTTACGCTTTTCTCTTCTGGTAAATATGTCTATATAGTTTTTATTAAATTAAAAAAAAAATTGTTTAGTTTTAGTTGTTTTAGTACTTCAACTTTAAACAAAAATGAGAAATGTGTCATTGGCAACTAGCTGAAATAAAATAAGTTTAAGTGTTTTATATTTTATTTTTGTTTATTTCAAGGATGTTCTTTGTGGTTTTAGTTCTATTTAACAAAAACGGCGCGGCATGAAACAAACGGGAATTGTGTAAGCAACTGTATTACTGAAACGCAGTCGAATAAATTAATTGATTTAAACAAAACTGATCCAAAAGTTTCGATATACAGATTTCAAATTTACACATTTATTTTCTTGTAGTTAGTTCTATTAAAACGATCAACAACTACTAAAATATATATAGCGTTAATGTGTTACTCATGTATTGTTACTAATGTACGTTAAATTAGAAATCGGTGTGAGAGAAGCGTTCAGTATCTTTTTTTCTGATGACTGGTGGATTATATCAAGTCCAGCTTTACTGTAGTAACTATGGTGTTTTGACTGTAGTTACCGTGGTAAAGTTTTCTAAGGGCAGCATGATGGTGTTTTGATGGGCAAACATAATTTAAATGATTTACAGGGTAAAATAATTTAAGTTAAACAATGTCCTTTTTCACAAACTATATTCAGTAAAGCGCTTTCCTGTAGTTACCTGTAGTTTTCTTGTTGTAAACTGTAGTTCACTGTTGTAATTCCTTATCATAATGACTTTACAGCTTTGATTTTACTGGAATAGCGAGTTTAGCGTTTATTCTGCGAGATCTGAATCCGACATTGTTTTGTGTGTTATCCACAGGTTGAATTTGGAAATCCCGATGTTCCCGTCTTCGAGCTGGACGTCGGAAGGATCTCCGATGCGCTTCACGGAAGCCTGGATCCGTCTATTTTATCCATCTTTCAGGAGAAGATGCTGACGGATAGCGTTGAGAGCGAGGCGTCGCTGCTGTCCGCTCTGACCGAGATGTTGGATAGCGTGGACGTCGAGACGCTTTCGCCGTTCGACACGCTGCCGGATGCGGAGATTTTCGCAGCTCAGAAGGGTTCCGACCACACGGTTAGTCCACATGGACATGAAAAAATGGACACGTTAGTTGTTTAGTGTCTCGATATACACTGCCGGTCAAAAGTTTGGGATCAGAACGATTTTTAATGTTTTTAAAGGAGTTTCTTGCTCATCACGGCTGCATTTATTTGATGAAAAATACAGGAAAAAATGTAATATTGTACTGTATTTTACTGTAATGTATTTCTGTGATGCGCAGCTGTATTTTCAGCATCATTCCTCCAGTCTTCAGTGTCACATGATCTTCAGAAATCAGTATAATATGCTGCTTTATCATCAGTTGTGCTGCTTCATATTGTTTTGGGAAGCTGTGATGCTTTTTTCAGGATTCTTTGATGAATAAAAAGTTAAAAAGAAGAGCGTTTATTTAAAATAGAAATCTTTTCTAACAATACACACTACCGTTCAAAAGTTTGGGGTCGGTACATTTTTACTCTTTATTTTTTTTTAAAGAAATTAAACTTTTATTCAGCGAGGATGTGTTAAACTTTTAAGAAGTGATAGCTAAGATTTATATTGTTAGAGAAGATTTATATTTTGAATAAATGCTGTTCTTTTTAACTTTTATTCATCAAAGAATCCTGAAAAAAGCATCACAGCTTCCAAAAAAAAAATATTTGCCAACATTGATAATTCTAATAATAAATCAGCATATTATACTGATTTCTGAAGATCATGTGACGCTTTATACTGGAGTAATGCTGATGGAAATTCAGCGCTGCATCACAGAAATACATTATATTTTAAAGGATATTAAAATAGAAACCATTATTTTATATTGTAATAACATTTTGCAAGATTACAGTTTTTTTCTGTATTTTTTGATCAAATAAACGCAGCCTTGATGAGCAGAAGAGACGTCTTTAAAAACATTACAAGTCTTCCCGATCCCAAACGTTTGAGCGGTGGTGTATACACAACGTGTTAAGATATTTACTTTGTCAAATGTGTTTCCGTCACAGCTCAGGAATCTGCTTCATTTCAGCCAGACGTCTCCGGATCGGCCCAAAATCTCTCGATCACCAGCCGCAAAGTCAGGAAGAGTGCGTCTCCTTTATTGATCTGATTCATGCACCGATGACGGATGAAGTCAAACTAGATATTTGTGTAAATCAAACTGTTATTGGAGCAGCTTCTGTTCAGTTGTGTCGAATCTAGAGGTCGACCGATACTGGTTTTGGTCCAGTTTTAAATAATTAGCTGATTACCGATTAATTGGCCAGTAGTTTAATTGAAAATTAGTGTCACTAATCACTAATCGTGAGCATTTTTTGTAATTAACAAAATAAATAAAATGAAAAAATAGTTGCGTCATCACACACTAATTTTTATTTTATTGTCATGAAATATATAAATTAGGTATTTCCAAATGGCATGTACAATACTTATTATATAAAATAAATAGTAGAATATATAGTTACGTTAAATATATTACGTATAATATGTATTGTACCTTGATTCTGTTTCTTTTGCACATAACTACTTAAAAAAGTAAAAAGTTTATTTTGTAAAAATAGAGCAACTTTTTTAAACTATATGTTTTTATTCAGCAACTATCTTATACGAGTGATTTTATTTAACGGTAACTATATACTGTATATATATATATGTGTGTGTGTGTGTGTATATATATATATATATATATCACGATATAGTAATTTTTCCTTTAAATAAGGTATTTATGATGTAAATATTTTTGAAACCATAGAAATTTCATAATTCTTGTCACAATATCACAAAAAAAACTAATACTAGCCTAAATTAAAAAGCTCAAGCTCACTGAAGACAAGTAAACAGTCAGCGATTAAATAAGAGTAAGAAACTAATTACAAGCAATAGGATAAAAAAACTACTGTAGAACAAATAAATAAGAAAAGCTACATACATTATATAAAGTAATCAAATGTATAAAAACACTGCATTTTCTTGACTGTGTACATTAAATCTATATTTCTTCTTATTAAAGTTAGAAGAGTGATTTAGTCAAGAGCAGTGAGAGAGTTTCTCTCTTGTTGTTTGATTAACATGAAGGACAGAATATTAGACTGCTGTCACTTTAAGAGCTGCCCACGTGTCCAATATACTGTTACTAGGGCCCTAATCGCGGAATCCAGTCATAAAAATGGAATTTAATGTATAGCGCGGAATGTTACAGAATTTGCCAAATTGTGGATGAATACATCAAAACTACTGTATGTCAGTGCACTCAAATAAAAACACGATATGGACTAGTGTCTGTTAATATTAAGCCGCAAAACTACTATTTAAATATGAATGCTGCATGTTCTGCGTGTCTCTGTGAATGAAAGGAACACATGAACATCAGCTCTAGAACTGCTCTGAGAGTCACTTCATAAGCATTTTACCGTTTCTTTCGAGAAAAAAATATCATCTACGCACAGAAACTTAAAGGTCGTCACAGGACCCTGTCAAAATAAAAGTTCGGTTTAACTTGAATAAACTGTGACAGAAATATATTACTTAATGTAACGATAGTTCTACTACTACTACTAATAAAATTATCATTAAAACGTCATTTTTTAAGGAATATTTACCAGAACAATGTAAATACACAACACAATATTTCTGGAAAAAATAAAAAACATTAATAAAATAATCATTTAAAAAAAAATAATAAAATAAGTTAATTAGAGATGCTTTTGATTATTAAAATTTAATGAAACCATTCAAATGGAATCTAGAAAAGTAATGAACAACACAGAATTTGGTAATAAATTGCTGTTAAATTATGTAAGACATGCTTTTTGATTAATATTTTTAATTTAGCCATTAACCCCTTAACTGTCACCCCCCATTTTTTTTAAATCGGCATTAAAGTGCACTATCCAAACTTAAATTGTTATAATTCATGAACACTTTGGAATATAGACCTAAGGTTGGTCTCTTTTTAAAGACGACAGTCTGCAGATTATTGCAGAAGTGGAATTCTTTCAAAAAAAATTAAATATCAAATAGTTTTAGAAGTTTACATTTACTGTGAAGAAAATGCACTGTACAATTTTTATCATATTTTATATAAAATAAATATTTTGCATAACAGGTTTTACTCTACAATTGCTAAAAAAAAAAAAAAAGTAAAGCCTTATGTCTAAATAAGTTATGTTTCAAATTTGAAGTTGATATGAAAAAAAAACAGGTTCCTGTGAGATTTTATTTAGGGTGTTATACCACAAACAGCCACCGGGTGCCACCAAAACTCCATTGGATTTTGTTGATGCATTTTTCTGTCACAAATGTCTAGATTTCTCTGCCAATATTGCTTCTATCACAACCACCAAATATGGAGTCCTGAGACTCAGACCTTTCCAGCGATATGTTTTATGTGAAGATTATAAAAAGTTTTGATTGTAATGCATTTTGTAATATGACACTTGACTCCGCCCACTAAGGGGGAGGAGACCGCCAAAACTTTTTAAAGTACCATTTCCATGGTAACGCAATGTCCGATTTCAAAATGGTTTTCATAGGATGAATCTTGTGCTTCTTAAGCTTTCAAATGATATATAATTTATGATGAATATTAAAGCATTTATTATTTTAAATATTAGCTTATTTTTCCCGATAACCACAGTTCCAAGATGAAGATTGTGCCAATTAATCAGCAAAACCGATATATCGCTCGACCTCTAGTTTCAATGTTTTGTGTGTCTTTTCTTCTCCATCAGGAGGTCGTGCTGTCAGACAGACAGTTGAGACCCCGTCGCCATTCAGTGACCCAGACTACACCGCGAGACGAGCGTGAGAAGAAGCGCCGCTCTGTGAGAGTCTTCCGGATCGAATCCGACCCCATATTCCCACAGGACGGACACGAGTTGCTTGCAGATTTAGTGAGACACATGCATCCGTACTGCGTCAGGACGCACCTGGAGAAAGAGACGCGCGTGTCTGCGGCGGCGGAGGAGGAGGAGGAGGAGGAGGAGTTTGTTGATGTAGAAGGTTACGAGGAACACATGCTGGACCAATCAGGACACGGACCAGACTTGAAGCCAAAAGCAGAACCAAATGCACAGAAGACCGACAGCCAGGAAGAAAAAGTCACATCTTTAGGACGAAACGTTAAGATGACGCCTGAACGCAGCGCTTTAGTCAAAACCAGCGGTGTGAAGAAAACGGTGACTTTTGCGTTTAATCTAATCTCCGTTCACGAGATTCCACCTGATGATGAGGAGATTTCTGAATCCACGTCCTGTAAAACTGACATCACTTCCTCTCAGAAGCCCAAAGCGCTCAGTCTAGACCAGTACCGTCTCCTCAGACAGAACAAACAACCTCCGGAGGAGAAACGGATGGACTTTCGAACCAAATGGCCTTCGCTTCCCGAGCTTCCCCGGGAGCTTCCACCAATCCTGCACAAGCTGGATCCGAACACACCTTCTGGTGAGATATTAGCAGCTGTTAAAGTGAAAGCCTCTCCATCCCCGCCGCAGGGAGTCACACGTCCCTCTCGGAGAGACGGCAGGAAGGCTGTGGAGCTTTGCATCGACCCTCCAAACCCGGTTTTGGTGCCCTTGAAACCCACACGACGCATAAACGCAACCCAGACCGCCTCAGACTCGAAACCAGACGTCTGTGTTTCTTGTGAAGAGGTTCGCCTCTCTGAGGTCGTGCCAGTGACGTCTGCTTGCAAACCCAGAACTGAACCGCAGAGCCAGACGGCGTGTGACGGAGACATCGGTGAGCAGACCGTTCGTCTTGTTGAGGAACATATGGCCATGTTTACAGACCATAACAGATTTGCTCTTCAATTACAATGCTTTCAAAGCAGGGCTAGTTTCGTTTACTAAAGCCATACAAAAACATTGTGCCAGGGCAACATCTCTCATTTAGTTTCACTTGATATACTGAAATAATTCAAATTGATCAAAACTAGATAGACAAATAACAAAAACTAAAAAAAAAGACATAAACATAAGAAAATTACAAAAATGAAATCTTAAAATATTAATGAAAACTATAATAGAAACTAAATAGACAATAAATGAATAAAAATGACAAAAACGCAACTAAAATTTTAATAAAAATGGAAAATATAAAAACAAATTAATCTAAAATATTAATGAAAACTATAATAGAAACAAAATAAAAACTAAGTTATACAAATAAAACTAATAATAATGACAAAAACAACAAAATTACTAAAACTAGCTGAAATGAAAATGGAAAATATTTTTTTTTTTAAATATTAATGAAAACTATAATAGAAACTAAATAGACCAAAATAAAAAATGAATAAAAAGTACAAAAACACAATAAAATTCTTAAAGATTTAATTAAAATTAAAACAAAAATTTGATTTTAAAATATTTATAAAAACTGTAATTGAAGCTAAATTATAAAAAAAGAAACTAATAATAATGATAAAAACACAACAAAATTACTAAAACTAGCTGAAATGAAAATGGAAAATATAATTGTTTTAAAAATATAAATGAAAACGATAATAGAAACTAAATAGACCAAAAATAAAAAATGGGTTTTGACAAAAACACAACAAAATTACTAAAACGTTAAATTAAAATGTAAAATATAAAAAGATATATTTCTGAAAGTACAGTAGTATATGGCGGCACTGTGTTTGTTCTGCAGGAATTGAGGCCGCTGATCTGACCAGCCTTTTGGAGCAGTTTGAGACGCAGGGTAAGTGATGTTATTGATTAGAGGCGATCAGCTGGTTTACATCGGGTCAGAAGCCCTGCATCAGTCTCAGTCTGTAAACGCTCGTCTTGCCTGCGTGTGTCTCCTCGGCACAGACTTCATGCAGTCAGAGACGGACACCGAGACCATTATAACCAACCCTGCTCTTCATTAATGGCTTGATGGCTTTTGGAAATCCGCTCGGGGAACGAATGATGCTTGCGATAAACACGGGGGCCTAAAAACACAAACTTGTGAAATTAAGTTTCAAAGTTCTTGAGAACGTTACGATATTATACCATTATTGTTTCTTTACAAAGTGACACCGCCACCTACTGGCCTGGCTTGAATAATACAGTGTTTTCAGTCCTTTGAAATGAGAAATTATGATTGTTATATAAATTAATGAAATTAGGCAACATTGATTATATCGTGCCCTTTTTTTTTTTTTACATTTATTGTCTCCGTTGTTCTAGATTTAGTGACTTTTCAAATCTTTTGAAACTTTTTTTTTTTATTAAAAAAAAAAAGGAAATAGTGACATCTTAATTAGGTTTACTGTTATTTTTTGTCTATAATTTTGTGAAAATTAAATGTTTAGGTGGAGGCTTTTAATTAGCCTTTAAGGGTCTCTTTCTGCACTGTATATGAATCATATTTTCTTGCTTTTTATTATATAATTTATATTGTGCAAAAATAAACGAATAACTTCCTGTAGAACTGGGTTCTAAAAAAGTCAGTTTCATCCAATTTAAGGTAATAAAAAGTCTTAAATTATATAGCAAAAGTCTTAATTATCACAGGATGCGGCTTAATGTGATTATTAAACATTTCAAAATAAGAGTCCCGGTGCATTTCATGCTTGTTTATAAATTAAAAGTCCCATATAACATCTATTGATCTGGATATTATTGGTATTTTGGTTACACAGTGGACTGTATCTGGCATTTAATTAAAACTCGTTTGGCTTCTCTCTGGGCGATTATTGATCGCGATATAGATTTGACAAGTATTCATTCATTCATTATTCACCTTTAAGCACATTATCATATGAGCAGAATTAGAGGTATTGATCGACTTCTAATTCGCATGTATTGATATATGTCACCCTGGAGCACAAAACCAGTCATAAGGGTCAATTTTGTGAAATTGAGATTTATACATCATTAGCGCATAATGCCATTATTAACATTTTAGCCTGTGCTTGTGCCACTGACCGTATTACTTCATTTTCTCCAGGACTAACTCCACCCGCCACACCTCCGCATCAGATCTGGAGGCCCCTGGCGTCGGTCAAAGGGACGAAACATGAATCCATCAAGCCGTCGTCCAGCAAAACCATTCAGATAATCGAACCCCGCCCACTGCCGCCCAGTAAAACTCACTCAAAGCCCTCACTCTCCAGCTTCACTCCTGCGATGAATCCCGCCCGAGCGTTCCTGGACCACGACTACTGCGGGATTCAGGGCAGCGAGACGTGTTTCGCGCACACAAACCCGCTGTCTGGTTCGGTGCTGCTGTCTCCTGACAGCTCCCCCTGCAGGATGGAGGCGTTCGAGGAGGCGGAGTCTCTGAGGGGGCGGGGCTTGCGCTTCTCCTCCCGCTCTCTGAGCCCATTGGACCGCGGAAGGCTGAAGAGGCGGGGCTATGAATGCGGATACCGGCGCTCCAGTTCCAGGTCATGCTCCTCGTGCTCTTCATCATCTTCATCATCATCTCGTTCCAGGTCTCGTTCGCCACCCAGAACAAGGTAAATGGAAGCTTTAGTTAAAATAAAGTATATGAAAATATAATTTTAAAATTTTAGTATATAATAATAAAGTATATAATAAAACACAAATTTGATATTTAATAATTAATTTATATGCATCCATTTAACAATAAGAAGCATTATAATATATATATACTGTATATATATATATAATTTGAAATATTTAGTTATAAATAAATATGAATCAGAAATATATGTATATAATTAAAAATTATACTGTAAACATTAATTATTATTTTAAAAAATGAATCAGAAATATATGTATATAATTAAAAATTATACTGTAAACATTCATTATTATTTTAAAAAATATATTTAGATAATAAAATAAACAATAATTATTATTTAATCATTATTAATTATTTGAGTAATGGTGCAATCAAATCATTGTATAAAAGCTCATTTATATTCATCCTTGTAACAATGAACAGCATTATTTATATATATATATAATATAATAAACATATAATAATGTATGTAATATGTG